GTATCACTCTAATAATAATGTCAGTCAAATTAACAACAGACCTGTTTAAGCTGACATAATAAGAAGTCAGTCTTGCACCATAAATCTGTCTATCACCCATACATTTCTGACAATATTGAAAACTTTGGAAAATCACGTACGTGACAGCGTGTTTAATTAAGATTTTGTCCCAAGACTCAGGAGCCAAACTAAAGAATGGCCTCTGCATGCTGATCACCTATGTGTTACTTCACTTTAGCTAAAGTCATGTCTCACCTGACCTTAACTGTATATGAACTATTCTGAATTTTTTTGTTAGGTTAAATTGGCACAATTTTGTGCACAAAGAGATGCTATTTTTTCAAGCCTAATAAGCTGCCAACATAAGCAGCATTGTAAGGCATCATAGGTGCACTCCGAACTCAAATTGTGTTTCCAAATGTGTGTTGTCTTTTAAGATGCCCATTTTGGCCAAATCCGAAGGCAACATGTACTGTATGCTTTACAAAGAACACAATCCCAAAATGCACTGCAACAAGTTCAATGAAAATTCAAAATGTGGACTAGGCAAGACAACTGTATAAATGGCTAATACATATCTAATAAATATATATAAAAAAAGAACTGATATTTCATTCAGTAACTAAAAAAAATGCTTACAAACACAGTTTATTCACCAAAAATCACAGTATGAAAACTTGTAAATTAAAAAAATAGTAAACATTGCAAAAAGCAAACAAATTTGACTTTACAAAACCATTCTACAAAAATTACAATAGTTATATTATATTTTAATAAATATTTTAATATATTTTTAATTGTATTTAATATTTTTCTGTGAATGTACTATATAATAATAATAATTTTGATATTTTAACAATTAAAATTGTATTTTATGTTTGTGCTTTTGCAAACGTATCTTTACATTCCTTAATTAGGCTAATTATTTAACATTTCAGGTTCATTTTGAGCACAGGGTATGTATTCTACAAATGTAATTGTTGAAAGTGTAATCGTTTAGTTGATTAATAATTTTTTTTTCATTAAATAAATTATTATTTAATAAATTATTAAATTATTAATTAAATTGGGTGTAGTTTTACCCACATGGTGTCAAGTCAAGTCAAGTCAAGTTTATTTGTACAGCGTCAGATTTTTTCTAGATCCTGCATTAAATTGATATTTTGACCTCACTATTCGGGGAACAGACACAGTCTTTATAGATTGGACAACACAAATACTTCTATCATTTAAGCGGGTAGAACACAAGTCATCATGGTGTGGTTTAGATGTGTGTGTGGCGAAGTTCATGAACATTTAAAATTGTGTGCAAAACAATCCCAGACCCTGTCCTGGCCATGTTATATTCTACATACAAACAGTATTGCATTATCAATTGTTGATAATTGATTATAACAATGCTCTGCTCACACGTAGGACACCAATTTATGAATCATAACTTGCCAAATTGTCAACGGAGGTAAACATTTAATTTTCATCCACATTTGGCAGGTTGTCGGATGTTAATTTCAAACCCTGATTGTGATGTTGCACTAGGTTTTGAAACAGAGTTGATGAGTAAGTAAGACTCTGCTCAGGCTTGTCTGACTGAAAGAGAGCAGATCCAGACTCAGATCAGCTCTGTTTTATCCTGAACTTCTGCCAGTGAGAGAAAGAAAAAGTGCAAGACGGAGAGAAAGTTAATTCTGTTGGAATGCAACATCTCCTCCACAATTCACTCTGTTCCCCCGAGAGAGGAAAGACTCCAGAGCACCTGGAGTTAAAGGATCTTAATGCTTAAATACACAATTAGACTTCAGGTTACAGACATGCACGCACCTCCCAGAGTACACACAGCAGTCTAGTGCTGCCCTGCTAGAGTTTCTCACTTTATTGTCATGGAACCTGCTGCAGCACTCGGGGCTGGATGTTTCCTCTCACTTCTTAGGACAGAGGACTTTGTAGATTTGCAGCCTTCAGACAATATTTGGCTTTTTGACTTTTGAAGTTTTGGTTTTACTTTTTAAAAAATGGCTAAAAGTCTGTATGCGCAGCTCAACCCGCAGCAAGTGACAGTTGCTCACTGGAAAAGACCTGATACAGTAAGTATGTCAAATCTGCAGTCTTAACAGAAATATTGGATAAATTCTGGGAGGTAAATATCTGATTTTGTAGCAGTATTTGAGTTGAGTACACGTAAAAATAGATTTTTTTAATAGTTCTGTGCCGCAAAACATTGTTAAAACCAACAGCAATGAATTTCTATATATAAAAAGCAAATCTACTTATAATAAAAGATTATCATTAGTTTGAAGAGAGCAGGATATGTTTGATTTGCGCAAGTTCTGGCATCTAAGAATATATTTCATGCTTACCTGACACATTGTCATGTTCTTACAGCAAAATATCAAAGGCTTTCCTTTTCCTTGTACAGCGATTTTTTTAATGCAAGCAAGAAAAGAGAATATGGATTTTCTCCCATCACTGACAGAGCTGCTTTCAGTATAGACTGACATGCACTATAATTTTGCTGCAGATTCATTTTTTCAAGCTAATCACAGTCCGTCGTGTTCATTTACCTTTAGTTTTATCTCAAGATCAAAATAGTTCTTACATCCATACATTCGCTATTTGAGAGGCGAACAAAGATTAAACTCTTTTTTTGCAGTACAGGTTACTGTAACATATTTCTGTATTTTATCTTTTCATTATATTTACAGTATTTTTGTAATTCAATAGGTGTTCATCTGTGCATGTTTGTTTAGGGAGGATACTGGTTACTTTGAACCATAAAGTGCATATGGTTTGGAGTTTAGTAGTATTATTAAATTACTTTACGATCTGTTGTTTTGGTAAGTCATTTGGCTGAAGAGGCTTTTGATAATGTGTTTGTGTAACAGGACTATCAGTCTGACTCGTCTGACCTTGTGTCAGTGTTTTTTATCTGAAGTGATTCAGTTTCCCTGACGTTTGTTTTCCAGGCAGCAGTGTAAGTTATGTTTGCCGATGGTGGAGGACTCGCACAATGTGTTTAAACAATGTGCTACAGAACACAAAGTATTTGTTCAAGACTGTGAGAAATTCATCCAGTCTTCATTCTCCACACATCGAAGATAATTGTTTCCACTCTCGTTCACGTTGTATTTTGGATCAGTCCCAAAGGCTGGACAGAACTCTACTGTCTGTGTCTTGGAGGTTCTCCAGACTAGAATAAGTTCACTAGAGTAAACTGGAATCACATAACCTGTCAGTAGATAATAATATATGGTAATGTGTGTGGTAATAAATCAAGTGAATAATCAACAAAAGAAACAAAACAAATGTATTTAGAATATAGAAATTAAATATTACACTTGATCCTCAGATTAAAAAAAAAATTGCCTCGTGTTGTGAAGGCTGTGTCATATTGCTAATTGGCATATGAATACATGGGAAATTATTGCAAAGTACTTCAGCAGCCAATTATAACAATTATATCCAATTATAATTTTAGCCAATTGTAACCAACTTCATGGCTACAAAGACAGTCAGCTACAAGCATTTTATCCAAATATGAGTGCCGTTGATTAAGTTATCTCTGTACTTTTTCTGCATCTAAAAATGACATGCTGTCATCGGGCTAGAGAGGAAATGCCAGTTCCACCGTATCCTGCATGTTGGGCCAAAACTAACTTTGCCACCAGCCAATATTGAGTGTGCTTGGCATTATTAACTCATGGCTGGATCCAAAAACACTATTATGCCCCTAAAGTTGTGCTGATGTTAAAGTCAATTTTATGTGGGAAAACTGGTAGCAGTAAGGTCCTTTAGTTAATGTTAGTTAATGCATTATCCAACAATAACTAATATGTTACAATATTTATTAATCTTTGTTAATGTTAGTTATGAATAAATGCATATAAATGAGGAGATATAAATATAAATATATTTGATGGCAATATAAATGCATCATTCATTCATTCAATAAAAATACAACTGATCAGTGTTAGTTCATGTTTGTTCAGGTCCATAAAATAGCTAATATTAACAGATACTATGTTTAATTTTAATAATGTATTAGTACTATAAATGTTGAAATTTACACTCCAAACTTTCCAAAGGTGGCATAGAAGCACTTCTGAAGTGGTATTTATGTGTCTTTACAGACTGTTTAATCCTGCTTAGAAGAGGCATAAATGCATTTATACAGCAATCACAACTGTATATTTTGAGTTTTGATTTTTGATTTTGATTCTGGTTTTTATACAACATTGCGACTTTACACTGAATTTTAAGCAGGCACAGAGCAGCCTTAACTTGACACCTTAAGATTAATAAATGCTTTAGAAATAGTTTTCATTGTTAGTTCATGTTGATGTTGTTAACTAGTTGAGGTGTCTTTACACAGCTAAGTTAAGGCTGGTCTGTGCCTGCTTAAATTTCAGTGTGAAGATGCAATGCTGAATAAAAGCCAAGGTAAATTATGCCTGCTTTGTCTCACCTCAGCACCTAGTATGAAAGTATACAGTTGTAATTGCTGTGTAAATACATTTATGCTACCTCTGAGCCACATTAAGCAATCTGTGGACACACTATGTCACCTTTGCATTGTAAATTTGACAATGTTAACAAATGGAACATTATTGTAAAGTGTTACCGGAGTTAAGGCTGCTCTATGCCTGCTTAAAATTCTGTGTAAAGACTCAATGCTGCATAAAAGCTAGTCAAAATTTTGCTTTGACCCATCTCAGGCCCTAGTATTAAGGTGCAATTGCTGTGTAAATGCATTTGTGCCACTCCTGAGCAGCATTAAAGAAGCAGTCTGTGAATGTGGTCTGAATGCTTTAAATGACTGATTCCTGATGAAGTCTGAGTGATAAATGGGATATTTTCAGTAGGCAGCTGCAGTGAGATGTATCCTGCACTGCAGCGTGTCGACTGTGTTGTTGGCCACACCCCTCTCATATCATGGGAATGTAATCAGGGGTCAACTCTAAACTCATCTCATCTCATTCCATCTCATCTCCTCTCCTTTCTTCCAGACTACTGATTTATTTGAAATGATTGAGAAAATGCAGGTAATTTTTTTTTTTACTTTTCTCTTTTTCCTTCCCTCTGCCTTTCATCTTTGAAGTAGCATTAACCCTGAATCAGCTGTCCTAACTGGCTACATAGTTGCATTTGCATGTTTTTTGTTGTAGTTGAAGGTCAACACTGTAAATAATGAGGACATTTATTCATTAGAAACCACAAGAATGACCCCAAGGTCAGTCACTTACCCAACCACTGCTGCACACTATACTGTGTCTTACTTTAATGTACATGTAAAAACATGTTATTTTGTGATGTAGAATGTAGTTGCAAACAGTTTATAGAATTCATTGTTTATATGAATATGAAAAATATTTTTAATATAATTTTTAAACTATGACTATCTGGTTACATAATAGTTGCATTTTTTTGAGCAGTTATTGCAAATTAAACCTAATATTTATAGTCTTATGATCTAATTTGTAATTTAGATGTATTTATTCATTTTAAATGAAATGTTAAAAGCGTTAAATTAAAAATAAAGTGTTAAAATTAAAAATATAACTATATTTTGTTCTGGCACGGGTAAAATCTTGTTTCCAAGAAATTATATATATGTTATATATAATTATGTTATTACAGTTATGGCGAAAAATTTACATATTTATTCTCGTGCCCTGATTATCATAGTTCTGCAATTGCCAAATCTATAATGAGTACATGATTGAACTATAAAGAGAACAAATTCTCTGTTGTCTCTGGTGCTGAAATACAAGACGTTCCTGATGTTGGGTACACAGAGACATATTGATCTTAGTCATTTGATATTACTGCGGTTATCTCTAACTTCGAATGGACAGATGTCTATGCAGAAACTGTAATAAGTGCACTAAATGTACCATAATGCTTCGGAGAACAGCATGACATTGAAATTGGATTTGATTTATTGTTGGGTTGCAGCTGGAGGACATTGTACAGTAAATGAGAAGCTTAGCTAGATGTACAGGATGTTTTAAATAGCAAACGTGTTGGTATGTATATCACAGTTGGTCTGCCATAAAGATCCCTTGATGGAATGTGTCATCAGATAGATCAGATAGATCAGATAGATCAGACATTCAATCCCCACTGCATCTCAGTGCAGCATTTCAAATCTACAGCTGCTATCAGTAGAATCTGATGAAACTAGCTCATACAATATTTTCATATTCAACTGTACTGAACTGTATAGCGCTTCACTCTTTTGAGCCACTGAGATGGTTTCTTTTTTGATGTTCAGCACTTTAATGAAGTAAGTGGACAAAGGGTTTGATACTTGAAACTTTAAGATGTTATATTTTGTATAATGACTGTAAATAACCTTGTAAATATTTGAACGTCTTCTCCCTGCATGTTCAAAATTGCACTTTGATCTTGTGTTCCACTGTCTGCCATATTCTTAAAACCAGATTAAAGAGAATAAAAAGCAGTTCATTGTCTAAGACTAATCTAAAGGCTTTTTCTGTCTCTCAGTTTGTCTTTGTAAAATAATGTGCTCTTTTCTAATATTGTTTAAATGCATGTGAACTTTCTTTAATAAGATGTTATGGTCTTTCATAATCATTTTATGAATGTCCCATTACGCTGTTTAACTTTTCCCCCTGGCTATTGTCTGTTTTCCTTGCACTGACCTTTTTTATGAATTACATAATATTTTGTTGTAAATTATACTGAAATAATTTCTCAAAATTCATTGCTTTTTTTTTTTTAGAATACACCCTCTTTAAAAACAAATTAATGACATTAATTAGTATATTTTTATATTTGCTAAGATTGAGTTGTTTTGCTCACTGTGGGAAATACAATCTTCATTTTTATAGAAATGAAGAATACTTGCGTTAAAAAAATGAATAATTATTGTATTCATTTAAACACTGTCCAGCATTGTTTTTGAACATTTATGGTAGCCCCTGAATTAAGATGCGTAAATTATATTTCTAATATTATCCATCATGTGTCTCTCTCAAGATATATCATTTTAGAGAAATTTCCAGAATTCCTATAGTTTATAACTTCCATGTATTTTTTTAAAGGCATGAAAATATCATTAGCTTCCTCTTCCTCAGTAGATCTAACCTGTGTTATTTTTGCTTTCACACGTGGGCTGACAGGGCTGCTATAGGGCTGACAGATTCGCTCTTTTTATCTTTCAGAGCAACAGAATGGACGAGCAACGATGCACTCTTCCTCCTCCTCTCAAAGTACGTTCACCTCACCAGCTCCCTTTTGTCCCTGTAAACACGAACTCTCACAAAAATACAAAACACGTATTGTATTGCTTCAAATAGAAGAGCTGGTTATCAGTCAAGCTGGTGCATCTAGTTTTCAAAGACATCCCTAGCCCACTTTCCCTTGCTCTAATGGAACTGCAATCAAATAAGATTAGCTGGTGCTGAGCAATATTCTCTGGCCTACAGCCATACTGCCTGTATAGAATCAAACTGATCACATCACACTGAGTACAGATAGTGAGTTAGTTCTCTTAAATAAACCAGCAGATGAGCAAGTAGAATGTTTTTTGCTCCTTGGGTCATTGGAGTTTAAAAAGGGTCTGTTGCAACCAAATAAATCTACTGCATTATTAATGTTTTGAATGTCATCTCCTTACAGACTGAGGAAGACTACATCCCTTACCCCAGCGTCCATGAGGTAAACCAGTTCAGAAAAAAGAGCTGACAGAAAACATTTGGCTGTCGATATCTCAGTGGAATTTATTGTGCGCTTGCACGACTGACCGTCACAGTAATTGTTTTTATTCGCTGTCTCTGTCAGGTTCTCGGCAGAAAGACTCCATTTCCCTTGATTCTGCTGCCCCAGTTCGGGGGTTATTGGATTGAAGGGACCAATCACGAGCTGAGCAATGGGATCGACCTGGACCAGCTCCTGTCTCCCAACTCGCGCTTCAAACAGGAGTGCAACACCACCGCTAAGATCTACAGGAAGCATTTTCTGGGCAAAGTAAGGATTTGCTTAAAGTAATAGTTCACCCAAAAATGATTGTCATCATTTTCTCACCCTCATTTCGTTCCGAACCTGTATGACTGACTTTCTTCTGTGAAACACAAAATGTGACTTTCTTGAAGAAATAAAATCAAAGTAAAATTGTTATAAAAGTGGTCCATTCGACTCGTGCACTATATTGCTCTATGCACTATATGTTTCATTCACTAAAGTTATGCATTGTTAAGGGCTTTTCACACTTGAAATAGTAAACCCTGGGTCATTCTAAACCCTGGGTAAAAGGACTACTTGCTTCACGTTTAACAGCAGGGTTTAGAATGGCAATAACCCAGAGTTAAAAAGCCCTAATTGTATTTTAAAGTCATATAATAGCTTTGTGAGATGAGCAGTCCGAAATTCAAGTCATTATTAACTGCACAGCCGCTCCTTGGTACATTATTGTGAGTTTGAAAAGTAGAAATCTCAAATTCGTGGTCAAGCTATTCTTTTGATTCAGAACTTTTCAGTGAATCAGTTCACAAACTGGTCTGAAAGATTAATTCACTAATCAGACTGTTTAGGTTCTCAGATTCAACTCAATGATTTGCCCACAACAGTCCACTGGAGGTAAAAATTATCAGTGAACAATATGTCTGCAGAAGACCTTAAATATAAAACATGAGCCCCCACAAGTTGAAAATGCATAGAAAAGCTGAACATTCAGATTGAAATCATCTTCAGCCCATCCATTTGAATAAGTTTCAATAATGTAATTGTTAACAAATGTAACCTAATTACACAGGGCAATGTGACAGTGGTGACACTGCAGCAGGCAGACATAATGAAGATTTATTAGGCTTTAGCTTAAATGGGCTTATTGTATTCACATCTAATATCCATTATAAATTAAACTAATGTGCATAAAGAAGTGGTTGGTTCGCTCTTAGATCTTTGGGGGAGTGTTGGGACTGAAAACTGAAATGAGTTTGGAAGTGTGAAAATGAATGAGCGCTCACAGCTTCGCCTTCTGCTCCTTCATTAGGAACACTTTAATTACTATACAGTGGACAGTGCCCTGGGCCACCTGGTGTTCTCCATGAAATATGATGTTATCGGGGACCAAGAGCATCTCCGTCTCATGCTCAGGTGTGACCTTCTCTCTTCTAATACTGCTTTTTATTCTCCATCCATTCTAGATTGCTTCCCCCGCTGTCATGTCTTATTTACTTTTCTCGAATCACTTACTTGTCTCCTGGCCTTGTGTCCTGCCAAACGTCTCTAGATGAGGGTGGCTAATGAAGGGCTTAGTGTCTGGCACAGTTTCACTACTTTGTTTTGAGATTTGGCTTTTATTGTGGACATTAAACAGAGCACACTGATATCTGTTCCTTGACAACTGCGAATGTTACCCACAATAAAAAAAAACTTTTCTCACAGATTAAACAGGCCAAATGTACACGCCACACTCGTTTCCGCATTAGGCACCAGATGGACAATATAGGGCAATGTGTGTGGGTGGAGGGAAGACAGCAGGATGTTCGTGTTATCAAATCCATGTGACACATTTAATGATGCCACAATGACACTGAACTGAAGACTGTTAATAAGTGTTACCGTTGTAGGTCTGGGCCATGTTGTGCTTTAATTCCACTAGAAACTTTTTTGTTGTTGTTTCTGAGCTGCCTGCGATGAGGATATGTGTGTATTTTTAATGCATTACTGAAGCGAAGCAAAACTGAGAACGATAATAAATCTTGTTTTCAGAGAATATATGTGAAACTAAATATATTAAAACTATATTTTTTTTTTCTCCAATGCATGTTGGCCACAATTATTGGCACCCCTATAAATTCTTTTGAGTAACATATCTCTGAAGTATATTCCCATTCATATTTAAAAAAATTTAGCACACCAGGGTGACTAAGAGCATGAAATTGTCCAACCATGACTTCCTGTTCCACAGGATTATAAATATGAGGAACACAAAGGCCAAGTTCCCTTAGTCATTCCCTTAGTTCCCAGAGTAAAACCAAAGAATATAGTTCTGCTGTGTAGAAAAAGTTTGTTGAGCTTCACAAAATAGAAAGGCATTATAGGAGAAAACTCAGAGATGTTATCTTGGGAAAAGGACATTGCAATGTTTGGGTGCCAATAATCGTGGCCAACGTGAACTAGAGAAAACATTTCATAATGAGATTTCTCCCCCACTTTCCATTGTTTTACTTCAATGAAAGGTTAGAATTTTGTGAACTTTTGAATGAAAGATCAAAAGGATAAACTATGCAGATTTATTTTCACAGCCACCTTTGCTCATATTTACATATATATTATATATTACACATTATATATTACACATATATATATATACATACATATATATATATATAACAATATTTAAATGTATCATGTTTTTAATTTAAATTTTGCTACTTTTGTAATATAAAATAAATGTTGTCATTGGGGTAGGAAAAGTGTATGCATATTCCTACCCCAATGACAAAATTTATTTTTATATTACATACATATATATGTCACGCTTCTGTGTGGGGTAAAGCCAGAGACACACTGCACGATTTTCGGCTGTCCCAGATTGGCATCGTGAAACAATCGTGGCATTTTCTTTGATCATGGCTCCTAATATAGCCAACGATACAGCATGATCATCGCACAGTGTGTTTGCTGGTACGATCCACGTTTACTGACCAGCCAATAAAAATGCGACATGAAATCAACGCGACATGGCGCTAAAACATAAAACTGCTTACCTCAAGCTCTTATCCCTTCCTCTTTCGCCGCTTCCACTTTTATTCAGCACACATAAAAACTACAACTGCTAAAGTGTGATTTATTAAGCTCTTTTTGTTTACCCACTAGCGCATGCTGATGATGTTTTATTCTTCTATAGAAACGTGCGTCGTAGCCTACGAGTCAATAGGTGTCTACACCTATGTCGTAGCCAAGTTTATTAGATCCATGTCGCACAGTGTGACATGCAATGATCTTATAGGATTGCTAAAATCATGCAGTGTGTCTCGGGCTTAAGGACGAGGAGTGCACGAAGAAGATAATTCCAAAGAGCCATTTATTACATCCACACACAGGGTAGCATTCAACAATAACCGACAACTCAGAGAACTAAAGGAAGGGGATTTATACAAACGGAAGAGGAGCTAATGACTAAATTAACTAGACACAGGTGAACTAACTAAGCAATCAAGGGGAAACAGAAACTTAAAGGTGCAGTAGGAGATCTTGGAAAATGCTAACTTTAGCCTAATAGCACTGAACGCGAACATCCCACCCTCCCTGCAATCGCCGTCCAAAGCCACGCCCCCTGAACGCATATACGCTCACAGACCAGAATACCAGAGACAACAATACTACAATAGGCTACATCAGCGGTTCCCAATTCCAGCCTATGTTCCGAAGTGAAGTAAACTTAAACGGATTTCCCCTGCTCAGGGAATAGGGAGCAATGAACACTGTGTAGGGATCATATCAATCGGAACACAGTTCATGCACGTAGCTCTCTTCTAATGAGCTGGTTATCTGAATCGGGTGTGTTAGACATGCAAAATATGCAGAGCAAGGACTGGAATTGGGAACCGCTGGGCTACATCATGTGTCATTCACCGGTGAGAAAACTTTAAATGGACTACAATACCAGGAAGGAAGATCGGGTTGTTGATGTTTGTCTGCCATTCTCGCTCTGTCTGCACAGCGTGCGTGAACGCGCTGATGACGTATCCTGTCTGCGCGAACCGGGTGCACAGAGGCTAATACATACGTTGACAGGCAGGTAGGAAAGCCAATTAAAATGCTCGGACCGAGCGTTTTGATTGGATGAACATTTCATGGTCCTACACCTTCCGAAGAATATATAAATACAGATAATGATTGCTATCGGGATGTGAAGAGACTTTCAACCAGCATAACAAAAAATGTTTCTGAAGACAATCACCTATTGCACCTTTAATCCTGCATCCTAATGTGCATACTATGCACCCTATCTGCCCTAAATAGTATTGAAAATGACTAATATAACATAGAATTTAGGATGGATAGTATGCACATTGGGATACAGGCTAGGTCAATGAACAAGCAACCAAAGTCCAAACAGGGTGATAGTGTGACAATATATATATATATAATAATAATAATAATTTATGCATTTAGCAGACGCTTTTATCCAAAGTGACTTACAGTGCATTCAGGCTATACATTTTTTACCAGTATGTGTGTTCCCTGGGAATCGAACCCACAACCTTTTGCACTGCTAACGCAATGCTCTACCACTGAGCCACAGGAACTAGGGATGCATAGTTATCGGTATCGGCCAAAATGTTCATATTGGTGCATCCCTAACAGGAACAATATATATATATATATTATAGGTGTGTGTGTGTCTTCAAAACGATACATGATGCTTAATTAACAACTAATTTGAAAAGATATATATATATAAAATCATCTTATGTCTACAAATGTCTTTCCTTTTTTTACAGAACAAAAATGAAAACATATCACGACGTGATTCCAATATCTTGTCTGACCGAATTCCCCAATATTGTCCAGATGGCCAAGGTGAGAGTGAATCAAGTGCGGAGGGGGTTAAGGGGTCAGCACTATTGTTTTCAGGCCCTCCAATTTATCACACTTATCTCCGAGTGACATGACTGATTGTCTCACTCTCCCATGAGCCTGTTCTGTCCTGCTTGGACAGATGACCGTAGTGTTGCATCACTTTTGCAAGATCAGATGAGAATGAGGAACGAATCAATATGTGTTTTCTCTTTTCGTTATCATCAGCTCATCTGTGAAGAGGTGAACGTGGACCGATTTTTCCCAGTGCTTTACCCAAAGGTACACAACAATTACAATAAATTTTTTTGTATGACCCACCTGCACCAAAGTGATACGCTTAACTCACTGGCACATAATCCTTTATTAATTTGTCCTGGTTAATTAAAGTGTGGCACTGGGAAATATGCTAGTTTCTGCAAAAGTATTGCTCATCGTCTCTTTGGGTTTGCAACGTTGACAAAGCAGTACCTAAAGGACATTCATCATGCTATTGAAAACATCTACTCTGCCACAGGCCTCCAGGCTCATCATCACTTTTGACGAACACGTCATAAGCAACAACTTCAAGTTTGGAGTAATTTATCAGAAGTTTGGACAGGTGAGTCGCATGGGAAGCCTTATCTCTGTTAGCTTCTTCACAAACGATTTCCTCTCATTTAGCCGATGCTGTAACTCACCATCATAATTCATCTTTATTTAGAACAACACCATTCTTTTGAACAAAGTAGTCCTTCCTTCTCTCGACCCTACAATGGCTCCTCTGCTTAGACAACAATCAAGCCGTTGTCTTCATTTGTCTTTTATTAAAATCATGAGGCAATTGTTCCCAGAGGAGAGCTTTGATTGCATTAAGGCAGATCCTTTACCTTTAAGGCCGCAGAGAGTGAGAGGTGCCTGAGAGGTTCTTCGAGGACGCTTGCCAGCAATGCCCTTAGCGTATTAGCATGACAGCGGAGGCTGCGAGTTGCGCTTGAACAGCCTCTCATCTCACGGATCGGTGTGTTTACACACTCAACCTTTCCAATGTGGGTAGCAAGAACACAGAGGCCCTTAATGGGACGTTCTCATGTCTAAAACGCACCTTATGGATCAGCCCTTAAAACTTCCGCTTGCTCTCCTTGACTCTAAATGGGAGACAATGTTTATTCATAGGAACAATTTGCATTTTCATCAAGCTAATTGACTCATAATGAGCCATTTAGGTTTGCTCATTTTAGAGTTTGCTTTTGTCCTCATCAAGATGTTCTTGTTTTTTGTGTGTGGGTTCGTTTCATATGGGGTTTGTTGAATGTCGGGCTTTGTGCTGTAACATAAAGCATTGTCATTATGTGTTCTTGTGATGTATGAAAGACTGAACTACTTTGTTATTTTGTTCAGTAATTGAAGTAATGATAATGCATGAAGCTTCTGTGTTGTGTTGACCTTCTATTGTACCTGAAGGGTTACTGTGTCTGCTGCCAAGGGCACAATACAAATGTTTGTTTGAAACTTTTAAGCATTTTATGTGTTTTTATCTGACATATATTATGCAAACAAAAACTTTTATTTTGGATGCGATTAATAGCGATTAATCGTTTTACAGCACTATTATAAATATTACTGAAATAAACTTCAAATGTTGCCGTGGCAACTAACTCAAATAAAATGTTTAAGGTCAAGTATAAAATTACTAGAACTAAAATAGAAGTAAATTAATGCTAAATAGAAATATTTAATGAAAAAACAAAAATGTATAAAAATGACAAAAGCATTTAACAAAATTATAAAAATTTAACATACAATTAAAATGAAAACTGAAAAATTTAATAATTAGTAAAATACTAATAGTATATACTAATCATATAAAAATAAATAAATAAATAATAAAATAAAACAGTACAGAACAAGGTAAGCCACTTAAAAAATAAAGGAATTTAATTTAATTTATGTTATTCATTTATTAATAATTATTTATGAAATAATTAAAAATAAAGATGTGAATAAATAACTTTTAAATGGTGTAATTAATGTTTAATGAATGTTTATATAGTGAAATCTAACAATAAATAATAAATTATTTTAAATTGACAAATAAATAGACGTGTTAGATTTTCTTATCCTTTTCGCATTTTTTTAATTAAATCAATAATTTATTCCTTACTTTTTATTTTTATGTGGCTCTCCTAGTCCTCCATAGATTGTGAGTGATTACTGAATAATAGAACACAAGTTTAGTGCAGAAATAGCATTGCAAACCATTTAGCAATTTTTTTTATGTAACCTTTACAAAGATATCCATATGATAAAGTTTTGCTACAAAACTAGGATTCATTGTCTTTGTGAAGGTTAATGCTAACGATATCCTTCATGTTTGACAGCAGAATCCTTGAATATGCTTTCTTCTACTAGGTTTCGTGGAGGATTGGACGTGACACATGGACAGACAGGATCTGAATCTGTGTACCACAATTTCCACAACAAGGAGATCATGTTCCACGTGTCAACTAAGCTGCCTTTCACAGAGGGCGATACACAGCAGGTACTCACAATGCTGTGGGTTCAGACAGTGAGAGGGTCACTCATAGCACATGTGTTTTCCCTGCTTCTAGATCCTTTAATCAATACAACTGTGGTAAGCATTAGTGGAACAAAATATAATCAGTTGTCCCTGATTATCCGTCATTGTAGATACTGTTCAGATGCAAAATAATATAACAAGCCACATAGGTATGAGCCATCTGGATTGACAGGAGGGGAGAAATCCATTCCTTAGCACTGTGGCAGATGCTGTTTTCTGCAGCCACACACTGCTGATGTGCTGGCAGATGATTGTTGACTCATAAAGTGACCTTTATTCTGCACTTTCACTGGCAGCGCTGTGTCCTCTGAGGAAGAGTGTTTTTAGAGCTCACTCCTCAGGGAATCTTCTAGACTTAGAACACATGAAGCGCGCTCCTCTCTCTCTCACTGTCATGTGCGCACACACACACTCTGCAGTGATTGGAGGTTGACAGCAGATTGAGTTGGTGAACTGATGTCCATGTTTAAATGAGCGGCTGCAACCTCTGTGTTTGCCCTTGCCAGCCATCTGTTGAGACATGTTATGAAAAACAACTTCAGCACATGGCATCATTGACACAAATGAAACCTCAAAAAGTAATGGAATTTATCATCAGATGTCTGCCAGAAGAGCGTTTAACGACACTCATCGCAACTGGTTTGTATATTACATCAAATATGTTTGGACAGGCTCATTTCATTCCTAAGCAATAAAGTGCAAGATGTTGCGCTATGATTTGTATATATTCATGTATAAAAGGCATAATATGCAATGGATATTCAGAATAAAGCACATATTCTGCATAGGTGCCTTAGTGGTTTTATATAATGGCATGATAAAAATATTAAAGACGTGAATTTTAATTAAAACAGCATTCTTTAAAGCTAATTTATTATGTCTTGTTATTCTTTAGCAGTATACACTACTGTTCAAAAGTTTGGAAATGAAAACGTTTAGTCATCAAATGCACATTCAATTGACCAAAACTGACAGTAAAGACATTTATAATGTTGCAAAAGATTTATATTTCAAATCAACACTGTTATTTTAAACTGTCTATTTATTAAAGGATCCTGAAAAAATATTAGAATGATTTTTAAAGAATCATGTGACACTGAAGACTGGAGTAATGGCTGCTGAAAATTCAGCCTTTCCACCAAAGGAATAAATTAAATACATTAAAAAAACATTAAAATAGAAAATATTTATTTTAATAATATATTAAAATATTAAATATTTTTGATCAAATAAATGCAACTTTAGTCATAAGAGAATTGTTTCAAAAACATAAAAATATTCTTATAGCCCCCAACGATTTTAACTGTGTGTAGGTTAATTAAACATTAATACTTGGCTTTTTATGAAACTACACTCTAAAAAATGCTGGGTTAAATACAACCCAGTGCTGGGTTAAATAGGGACAAACCCAGCAATTGGGCTGTTTTGACCCAGCGGTTTGGTTAAATGTTTAACCCAACCTTCTGGGTAGTAACCCAACTGCTGGGTCAAAACAACCCAATTGCTGGGTTTGTCCCTATTTTACCCAGCACCGGGTTGTATTTAACCCAGCATTTTTTAGAGTGTATGGTGAACAAGTGTTTTGCATCATACATTACTATAGTTTCTATTTTAGTAGACTGCAACACTGATTTGACCAATCAGCATCCAGGACCCACTTTTTTTTTCTTCTTTGGCTTGAAAGCTGCTAATACATTTTAAATTATGCCAAAGAAATCTCACTTTAACAGCTGTATAGTATTTGAGTTTGATGAGAGTGCTACTGTTACTTAAGGAGTACTGTTACATTTAAATGAAGAATTATAAAAGTGAACTCTCTTGTTTTGTTATCACAGCTACAAAGGAAGAGGCATATAGGAAATGACATTGTGGCCATCATGTTTCAAGATGAGAACACTCCATTTGTGCCAGACATGATTGCCTCCAACTTCCTGCATGCCTACGTAGTGGTGCAAGTTGAAAATGCCTGTTCTGACAACGTCCTGTACAAGGTACATCATCACAGTATTACTGCAATCTAGCGCTTCTGTAACACCTCTCTGTGAGTCAGTAAGTGATGCATGCATTTGTCATTGTCCAGGTTTCAGTAACAGCGAGAGATGACGTCCCCTTCTTCGGACCACCCCTCCCCAACCCAGCCATTTTTAAGAAAGTGAGTTGATGAATCTAAATAAATGGAAGTGGAGTATTTATGCATTCCACTAGCAACATCAGGGTCATGGGTTCAGGTCCTAAGGAATGCACTGATGAAATATATACAGTAAATGCTCTTTAAGTGGCATTTCTGGGAAAAAAGTATCTGCTTAATACCATTGTTTTCATTTCAAATGTTTTGGGTCAGTAAGATGTTAAAGTTCTCCTATGCTCAAGGCTGCAATTATTTGATTAAAAAGTAGTGTCGAAACTGTAATATTGTGAAACAGTATTACATTTGAAATTTATTCCTGCAATTTCACAATTTATTGCTGTGAATTTCAGTGTCACGTTATCCAATTTGGTGATCAAGAAACATTTATCATTATTATTTTCAATATTAATAACAGTTGTGCTGCTTAATATTTATGTGGAGAATGTATTATTTTTTGAGAATTCTTTGATGACTAGAGTTCAAAAGAATGTCATTTGTTTGAAATAGAATTTTTAAATATTTTAATGCCTTTACAATTACTTTTGATCAATTTAATGGATCCCTGCTAAATAAAAGTATTAATTTATTTTTCTAACATTTTTTAAATGGTAAAAAAAAAAAAAAAAAAATTTTCTCTCCATCCATCTGTATCTCTCTCATTTGTTCTCCTTCTGCACCTTCCTGCCTCTCTCAGGGCCCAGAGTTTCATGAATTCTTGCTTACCAAGTTGATCAATGCTGAATACGCTTGTTACAAAGCTGAAAAATTTGCCAAATTAGAGGTGAGTGTCATTAAGTTGTCAGAAATCAGTGCTCATATGCAATACCAAGGTTATGGTTTTAAATGCAATGTATTAATAAAATGTATTTTATGATATATGTGACTAACAAATGCATACATGTAATGTAAATGTCCTGAAATAAATTCACAAGCCTCATCTAGCATTAATTTAGTATGTTCAAATGTATTCTATGTATGTCTAAATACAAGTACGCTATATCACCAGGAGCGTACCCGGTCTGCTCTGCTGGAGACGCTGTACGAGGAGCTGCACATAAACAGTCAGGCTATGATGGGGCTGGGAGGAGAGGAGGACAAACTGGAGAATGGAGGAGGAGGGGGAGGGGGCTTCTTTGAGTCTTTCAAGGTAATCCACAAGGACACAGGGCTCTGGGGTCTCTGTGAGGCACTTACATCCAGAATAGAGGGGGATGGGGATGTTTGTGAAGCATTGCTGTGGCTTGTGTGTGAATGCTGGACGGGGTGGATTTGGTTTGTGGTCATAAATCTTTTCCTGACATGAGATGAGTCGTTCATTCAGAGCAGTGTTATTTTACTGTCTTTATATACTATCATATTTGTATAATAATATAATAATTTTGATAATATTTTAAATTCGATTTTAATTTTATATTTTCCGTTTTCATTTTAGTTAAAGTTTTAGTAATTCTGTTGTTGTGTTTGTCATTTTTATTCGTTTCAATTTTTAATGTCTATTTAGTATTAGTTATTCATTAGTATTTATTTAATTTAGGTTTAGTTATTTTAGTACTTCAGCGTAAACAAAACAAACATAAATTCAGCCTTAGAAACTAGCTGAAATAAAATAAGCTTAAGTTTTTTATATTTTATGTCAGTTAACAGTTTTATGGTTTTCGTTAGTGATAATAACTCTGGTTCAGACTAGTCTTTTTTTTATCTTGCTGCTGTTATACTTTATGAACGGTAGCATATTTTTCTCTCTTGGGATTTAGATAGCGGTGTCTTTATGACTCCAGCTGTCAAGTGATGTAACCAATGCTACCTAAATTAAATTACTCATTACCATAATTAACACTAATTATATCCTATTAGCACATTGTCGAGCATAGATCCACTCATGAGATTTATTTTATGCTCTACAGTGTTTTGCTTCCTGAAATACTTTGCAAATTAATCAGTAGTACATGATTAATCATACACGACACAAATATTTCTCTGTAATGTGCAGCATTATGCCTGACGAGAATATCGAGGTTATTTTTCAAGTAGACTGAATTTTCCATAGCAATAATTCATTACTGACAGAACGTTTGTATGTGCGTGGCAGTCGGGTTTATAATTGAAGGTGTTCAGTGGTGTTCACGCATTGATTGTGGTCATCCAGAAATGAAAAATCAATCAGACTTCTCATAAATCATTTTCATTATCTGTCTTTTAACCTATTATATTTGCTTCCGCAACCACTTATTCACACAGTTTTTATCAGCAGCTGTCAATAGCCGAACTCATTAGCATAGACACAGCTCATCTGTGGTTGTGGCATTCTGGGATTGTCCCATGAAATCGGGCAGCACTTTAGTGGGTGATGTTTAATCAATATCCATTAACACTCTCAGGCGGTTCTGCCCTCTATTGGTTGCAAGCTTCAATCGTGAGTAGCCAAGCTCTCTGCTAGCTTCATATCATCTGTCCTCCCTCCGCCCCCTTGCTTTTTTCTTTAACGAACAAAACTGCACTCTTCGCTCAGGTGTTGCTCAGGTCGTTTTAGCTACTTGATTCATTGGCTTCAGACCCACTCCACTGGCCCTCGCTGACCTGCCACTGCTCACCGTGTCTCCTCCTCATCTCTCTCTGTGCTATAGCGGGTGATCCGCAGCAGGAGCCAGTCTCTGGACACCATGGGCCACAATATCAGGAAGCACACAGTCTCCAATAGTCACAGCGGCAGTTTCACCCACAACAACAACAACCACCACTCACCAGAGACCCCCAAACCCCCTGGGATAGTAAGTAACCCCCCCGGCCTACTGGCTTTCCAATGGGCCAAACTATGCTAGTCCCCTCACTTCCCTCCACTATGAGGTAAAAAGCCAGTCCTGGTTACACATACTTCACTAATTCCTGACTACACTGAAAGTTAAGCACACGCACAGATCCTCTGAGTTGCCAAACTGAGAACTAAACAACACAACGAAGATGAAATAATTCATGATTAATCAACCAACTTCGATTTAATTAATATTTTTCCTCATGCACCAGTCCCTTAACATTTCTTTCCTCATTCCCATCATGCTTTTTGTCTGTCATCTCTGCAGCCACTGATCTTATTCACTGGACCTTTTACAGTTTACCTCAGGAACGTTTCTTGAAAGGGTCACTTAAATGCACTGGTCTTGCTCTACAGTCAGGATTTCCTGAGTTAAAAGGGTCAATGACATGAAGTTCCTATCTATTAATTTATTCTAAACTACATTAGAAATGTAATTAATAGATTCATTGACTTCAATGCATCTCTTCTATTATAAGCCTGTTTATAATTTCTGTATTTAAATATATTTTGATATTTTTTAGAATTAAAAAATAGAAATTAAGGGAAAAAACATTAGGTATTTTGGCATGCATATATAATATATTTTAATATAGGTTTTCTTTTTACAGTTTGATGTACTGAGATCTATCTATCTATCTATATATATATATATATATAAATTTGATTATATAATTTGTAATATTCTTTTAAAAATAGTACTACCTTTAAAAATATATTTAAAACAATTATTTTCTTTTTGAAAATAATGATGGTTGCATGGCATTTGTCACATGACATTTTTTCAGGCAATTTTATTTAGAAAATTATATTAAACTTTTTCAAATCCATCCATCAGAACTTGACGTATGTTTTAAACTTGATTTTTTAAAACTGTTTTCTTTTCTTTTTTTATTGCAGACACTTTTACCGTATAAATATGTCATTGACCCAAAAGCATGTTATATGAATTTGCGCTTTCCCCAGAGAAGACTGTTATTCTTTTAACCCCCGTTATAATCACAGGAGGTGCGTGTCTTGGTTATGGTGAAGATGAGGTCCTCTGAGGGGTACATGACATAAAGTAGTCTGAATGTGTTGCATGTTGCTCATGAGGGAATGAAATGCTGTCAGATCTACAAGGGATCATGTGAGACATTCTTTTGTTATTTTCCTTGCAATGTCTCTCAGGAATGAATATTATCTGATTTTGAAGTAGGATAAGGCGACCTGCAGCAGTGTTAGTATAAAGATGGTTGTGAATGTTTTGACCTTACCACATCCCCCACAGGATCAGACACACATCAGCACCGCATGAGAACCTGCTGGGAGAATTACATATTTATGTGTGTGCATGTTGAATGGATTCTGCTGCGTTTATGTTTTAATATGCAGGTGTCCTGTTGGTAAGTATAATGCTTGCACAGCTTAAGTGCAGAGACAGCGTTGTCCGGCCAGCTAGCTCTTGCTCCATCAAGCACAGCAGCTCTTATGGTGCTGCTTCTTGCCCTGGGGACTAGAGCCATGCTATGTCATGCCAGCTCCCCTCGTGAGCACAACTCATATGAGTCGAGTGAAATCCCACTTTCCCCACAGGGACTCGCACTGGAACAGACTTCAGAGTTACTGAGCCATGCCTCTGTCACAGTTAATGTTTCTGTTATTTATAGCGCTATCATATGCCATGTCAGTCAAATGGCCTTCACACAGGTTATGCAATGGAGAATAAAGACCAGAATTTTAGTACAACTAATATTTTGGTATTGGGAATTTAATCCCAAAGGTTACAGGCGAAAATTAGAAACTGTGTATTGATTCATCCCCTTATGGTGATTAAGTCAGAACAACCAGGGCCATTGACAGTGATGGGGGGCCCCACTAAGGTCCTCTGTGACAGTGGTTATGAACTGGTTTTGCTGCAGGACCCAGTACATTCATTGCATGTCAAGTGACAACGCAACACTTACCAAAATTATTTATCATAAACAAGTAAATAAAAACATATTCAAATTTACATTGAAACTTGCATAGGTCCAACAATATGCCAAATTAGTAACATAAACTGGATTGTAAAATGAACAGTTTTGTAAATTCTGTTTTTTATTTTAATATTTACATTTTTGTTGTATTTTATTTTAGTTTTAATTTTTTGTACAATTTTATTGTAAATAAAAACATCCATAAAGCCAGATTGAAACTGTAAAGTGCTTAGGTCCAACAATATGCAAAATAACAAACTGGATAGTAAAATTGAAAGTTTTGTAATTTTATTTTATTTTATTTTATTATTTTAGCATTTTTCCACTTCTATGTGGGACCCTGATATGACACAATTTACATTTTTATAAATTTTGTATCTTATTTTAGCATTTTTCCACTTCCATGTGGGACACTGATATGAAAATGCATTGGCTTCAACAGGCCAATCCATTTTTATATCACGACCCACCAGTTGAGAGCCACTGATCTATGATATAACTGAGTATGCATAGTTTGCATTTTTGCAAGTTTAAAGGGGTCATATGATGCTGCTAAAAAGAACATTATTTTGTGTATTTGGTGTAACTACAGCGAGAATAAAAGTTACGCCTTCTTTCTTTGCGTGAACATTTGGGCGGCGTTATGCAAATCTTCCCACATAGTGATGTAGATATGTGGGGGCGTGTTAGAACGAGCCGTTTTAGGTAGGCGTGGCTGACTCTTAAATTTTATAAAGAATATCTCTTTGGATTTGAGACTTTAGTCTTTGCAACTTTACAGATCTTCTTTATGCACCAAGAGCTTGTAACACTTCAAAGAGAAAGGAAAAATTGAAATCGCATCATATGACCCCTTTAACATAACACCAAAATAATGCATAAATGTTTATTTAACGGCATGATATATATGAACTTCCTTGTCTGACTAACCTGACTAACTGTTAAACTGTGTTCAAATGTCAACTGTCCCAATGTCACCAATTGTGTGCTATGTGCTCCTACTTCAGCTTTCTTGTCCTTCACAGGTCCCCGTACCTGCTGAGGTTCCTCCGGCCCTTTTTTCCTTTTGTGGCTACTCTGTTGTGTTCATGACAGCTTTTTTCTTGCTGTTCATGCTTTGATGACTGTCTCTCCTGCAGATGTTTGTAGGCTATTTTGTTTGTATAACACACAACCTGCTGCATGGACTCATGATTTATCTCGTTCTCTCTCTCTTTCTCTGTGGGATCTGTGCAGTCATTGCTTGTCCCAGGCAAGAGTCCCAGTAAATATGGACGGCGTGGCAGTGCCATAGGAATAGGAACCATAGAAGAGGTTCATGTATAACTCTCACTCCTCTCTCATATGCATCATTTGTTCTCACCGCATGACTTTTACAACATACAGCTGCAGTTACAGTCAGCTAAAATCCTTTTTTCAATGCACTGATCATAATATAATATTAGATTATGGAAATTCATAAGGGCTGATGCCATATTTAATTTTACACAAATAAAAACGAGGCTGAGAAATGGATGTGCATCCAGTTTGATTTGTTTCACTTTCTTTAAGTTTTGCTTAAAATTTTTAGAAATGAGGTTTGTCCACTGGAAATTGTTTGGAAATACACATATTTTAAATGTTTTGTTAACAGAATGATTGCCACCAGTGTATAATAATACACCCACTTAACAAACTATGTTTATTCCAGGGTTATTATAGTTAACTACAACTAAATGCATAAAATGGCTTTCATTAATTAAAATAAATAAATAAATAAAAATTTCATTTAGTTTCAAATTTCAATTAACAACTGATATACTAAAATAACTAAAACTAAACTAAAAATGAATAAAAACTATCTACACATTTTTAAAACAAAAGCTAATAAAAAGACAAAACAACAAAATTACTAAAACATACATGAAATATAAAAATAAAAAACAAAATTAACATTGGTCTATTCTTCACAGCAATGTTTTTAATTGTTTTCAATTAAATATGGCATTTTACCCTGAATACATTAACAAGTCTACATCTAACATTCTAATTTCTGTTTTATTTCATTTAAATTTTTACATCGTATTTTTAAATAAAAAATGTTTGCAATAATAAAGTGTGGCCGATAACCAATCAATTATTTTGCCTAAATAAATACAACTAATGATAAATAAAAAAAAAACTAAAACTAAAATCAATAATTTTAAAAGCTAAAGTGAATTTAGGCACCACAAAATTATAATGTGCTGTATGAAAAATGGATATTCATTTTGAGATTTTGAGATTCATTTAGCCAAGTATTACATTTAAAGTGTTACGTTTTTATTAATTCATAAATTATTAGTATTTTGCAAAGATGAACTTTAAATGATAGCGAAGTTCAACTGTAAAAGGAAATGGGCATGCACAATTAAATATCCAATATCGGCCAATAACAATAAAATATCTTTAATACTGGCCAATAACTGATATGAAACATATATATTGTGCATCCATCATTTTATTCATGCCATACTATCCAGTCTTACTAAACAGGCCATATTCCTATTGAATATAAGCCACTTTGACAGTAAGCATTGTTCAGTTAGAGTCATATTTCACACTTTTATATCCTCTACCACAGTTCTTTTAAATGACCCATGTATATCTATGTAGATTCATCAACTTTCAGCAGCATTGTTTCAGTGTTTAATGTTTATGGTGAAAAGTCACAGATTTCATCATAGCTCCCCTTCCAGCATCACTTCTTGCATGTAATGCATAGCTCTGCTACGTTTTTAATGTCCAACGTCACTTCTTGTTGTGTAGTATGTACTGTTCCGTGTATCCCCTCGTCTGATAATTGTACACTCTTTGTGAGCTAATAGCATAGAAACACAAAGGAAAAAGGCAACAGAGAGTATTTCCGAAGCCTTTGAAGCAATTTTAGATAAAAGCCTTTTTGAAGGCCTTTCATTTGAAGTCATAAAGCACTAGCTGTAAAATCCCAGCGCTCAGGCTTGAAGAGAACAAAGTGTCCCCAGCGAGAACACAGCCGCCCAGTGAAGCTCAGGAGATCCTGCTCCCATCTTTCATCTCTCAGTTCAGGCCGAAACCCTCAAGCACGCACTTCACATCCACCCTGCCAGTCAAGCTACAAAACAGTGTCTTTTGTTCTCAAAAAGACTGGAGCACGCCACAGATATAAGAAAAGTGGTATAGCATAGACCTGACCTATAGAGGATGTATTATCCTTAAAGTTTCCTTTGAGACCACTTGGTGACCATCACAGTGTGAAGGTGTTTCTTTAGGAATCCTTGGCTCACTGACCTTCTTGTTCTCCCCTGCAGTCTTTGATCATTCCTGGAAAAAGCCCAACTAGGAAAAAGTCAGGACCTTTTAGCTCTCGACGTAGCAGTGCTATCGGCATCGAGAACATCCAGGAGGTCCAGGAGAAGAGGTAAGAGGAGGAGGAAACTTCAGAAGCTGCAATTGTGAAGCATGACAATTTCAATGTCACAGATGCGGGCAAGATTTTCTGTGAAATTAATATATGCACTACAATTCAAAAGTTTAGGCTCAGAAATGTTTAATTTTTTATTATCATCTATTATTATTTATTATCATTTTTATTATCATTTCATTTGTTTATTTTATTATCAGAGATAAAAAAAAAAATATTAAGCTGCTCACCTGCTTTCAACACTGATAATAAGAAATGTTTCTTGAGCAGCAAATCAAATCATAAGCCTGGAGTGATGGCTGCTCAAATTCAGCTTTGCCATCACAGAAATAAATTACATTTCAAAATATATTAAAATATAAATATATTCAAATAGTTATTTTTTATTAGTGACAATGTTAGTACTGACGGAATGGTTATATCCCAAAAATTGTACATTTATTGATCATGCACTGTACATGCATAAATAATACAATACTTAATATAAAATAAAAGAGTTATAGGCAGAACATAACGTGTAATATTACACTGAACTTTACACTCCTTTTGTGTGTTTATGTGTTTGGTGAAGAATTGCTGCTCTGTTGTCAGAGGACAGGACAGTGCTCTGTCTCTCTCTACCCAGCGTCACTCTCAAGAATGGGAGGCTCATCGTGGATCCCTCCAAGTATAAATGCCACCATAGAATGACACCTCTATAACCATAGAGTAGCTGCTTTCCTTACCTGGCCATAGCAATGCATCTGAAATGCTATTAATTATGGCCTTTAGCACATTATTAAACTGGTCACACATGCAAAATCAGCATGCTAACTGATTGGTGGTCTGCTAATTTTTCAGCCAATCAATGTCTGTTTTACTGATTTTGCATGAGCTGGCCTTTGTCATATGTGCTGTAGTACTTACAGGCCCTTTGAATTGTGTTGCTCTGAATTCATGTGTTTCAGTATAGTGATGTGAATCAGCATGCACTGTTGTATCTAACCTAACTCTGAGTAGACTGCTGTTGAGCTTGGACTCTGTCACCTCACCTTTGACGTGTAGAGTTTCAAACACAATGCTTATGCTGCCCTCTGATGGTGAAAGTGCGTGTGTGTGTGTGTGTGTGTGTGTGTGTGTGTGTGTACAGTCTGAAAACTCCTCCAATCAGAGCTCTCCTGAGGTCCTCATCACCAAGAACAGGTAAAGTGAAAAGCATTACCCTGAATGATGATTTATTCGATTTGTTCACATATTTCAGTGAGCCTTAAACCTTGTGCTTTTATGTCTCAAGGGTTGATTTCAACGTTTTGTTAAAAATTGTTTAAATTGAAAATTCTTACTATGCCTTTACTTATTTTTGCTTATTTTCAAATGTATTTTAATGTGTAGATTAAATTGTTTTCCTTTTGTCCCAAACCCAGATCTTATATCTTAATCTACGAAAAAGCATGATAAAATATAAATTATTATAATATCGATATATTTAAATAGTTAAATAAACATCTTTCATTTTAATAAACATTTCATATTTCATTTTAATACTTCAAATATTGTGTGAGAATGATGTAAACACTGATTTATTTTTGAAAATTGAAATTGCCAGTACTGATGGATTGGTTATGTTCCAAAAATCTTACATGTAGTGAGTGATCATGCAAAGCAGTATTTTGTGTGTGTGTGTGTGTGTGTGTGG